GCGTTAGTGTCTCATCAGACAATCTTTCCGGGCCTCTTCAAGCAATCTTGATGATGGACACCACATTCGTTTTTTTATCATCTGAAGCACGTGCACTTGCAACTATTACCCTGTTTCTTACCCCTCTTTGTCCTTTTCTTTTCATCCTGTATTTAATCCCATAATCCTCACACTTGTTTCGTGGAAAGACTTGCAAATAAACCAGCACTTGTCAAAGTTGCAACGGAAAAGAACTTATTATGTTCACGACCCCTACGGATTTCTGGTTCACATATACAAAAGAAGTTGGGCCAAGCCTTTATACATGTAAATGGCGCAATGATCTTCTCTAAGTATCGGGGTAGATTCCCACGTGTCTGAATAAGTGTATGGGGTGTGACTGGATTAATAATGATTCCAAAAGAAGGCAAGATGACAGTGACTATTCCGTGTCGATGGCAGTTGCAGAATTTTAATCGATGCTGTGTCCTGTGTTAAGGTGATGTTGAGCTAGTGCGTTGGAGTTGGTATCTTCCTTAGCTACGTCATTTTAATGCTGCTTGATGCGTCATTTGAAGTTACTTATATTATTGCGATAGCAACTATATGGACCCTCTCGGCTGGATTTCACTGCAGGCGTCGATGTCATGCGCCGTATATGTATACGTATCTATATACATGAAAACTCAAGAAATAAAAAAAAATCCTGAAAAAAGACTCCGGCGCGCGGAATCGAACGGGGGGGCCTCCACGTCGTGAATGCGAGGCGTTAACCACGGAGCTATCGAGAGGTACTTCCTTTGACGTTCGAACGGCAAGTTATTTATATCTACCACTTACTGCTGTTGGCGGGTATCTCGGGGGGGGGGGGGGGGGGCGAAACTACCGTGTTTTCAGCATTATCAGCAGGATGGCGCAATGAGCCCGGGGCGGCTCTCATCTCTCGCGCGCCATTATCTCCGGGCTGGGAGGAGGGGAGAATTGTACGTCTTGGCTGGCTTGGGCTTTACCTGGAACGATTTCGTTGTAGTTACCGGGCACACAAAGGTTACTGCAATCATTGCATTCTTCGTTTGTGAAAAGCGCGCGCTTTTCAGGCACAGCGAAGTAACAACTGAGACACTTATTCGCGTTCATCTGCACCTGTGAGTACGTTTCGTGAGTCACTTGTGCGTAAGAAACGCGGGGCACTTATCGATCTGCTTGCCATTCTGCGCGTGATCTTCCAATTTGTTGCTATTAGTGTTAATTGCTTCGCCTTTGCGACAAAGCTGCGACTTTTTTTCTTATGTATGATGCGCGGAAGTCTTGACAGGGTACCTTATAGACCACTCGCGGAGAGCGTTCACGTTCCAATGGGTTTTAATACGAACCAGCTGGCTTCTTAACTTGTGCAAGAGCGCATGTGTTACTTGTACGTCATTGCACCTGTATATTCTTGCGAGTTTTGTCTAATGATTTATCTTGGGCGTGCTTGCAACGGATGGAGTTGAAAAAGAGACTCAAATTGGCGGTAACACGGCAAACACATTTTAATATTATCCATAATGGCAAAACATGAACAAACTCTCGAACTTTACCCCTAAGAAGAAACATCATGATCATCATCTTGATCAGCCTGACTACGGCCACTGCAGGACAAAAGCCTCTCCCATGTTCCGGTAGTCAACTCGGACCTATGCTTCCTGCTGCCAATTTATACATGCAAACTTCCTAATCTCATCTGCCCACCTAACCTTCTGTCTCCCCCTAACCCGCTTGCTTTTTCTGAGAATCCAGTTAGTTATTCTACAAGACCAGCGGTTATCCTGCCTACGCGCTACATGCCCGGCCCATGTCCATTTCCTCTTCTTGATTTCAACTATGGTATTCTTAACCCCCGTTTGTTCCCTAATCCACACTGCTCTCTTCTTGTCTCTTAAGGTTACACCTACCATTTTTCTTTCCATTGCTCGCTGTGCCGTCCTCAATTTAAGCTGAACCCTCTTTGTAAGTCTCCAGGTTTCTGCTCCATAGCTAAGTATCGACAAGATGCAGCTGTTATATACTTTCTTTTTGAGAAATAGTGGCAATCTACCTGTCATGATTTTAAGTGCTTGCCAAATGTGCTCCACCCCATTCTTATTCTTTTAGTTACTTCAGCTTGGGGTGCGGCCTCACCGGTGACCACCACCGATAACGCTCTCCCTCACCAGAGAAGGATTGGCCTCCCTGGTTCAGTATCTGGCCACTACTTCCCACATGCATAAGAAGAAACATATACACAATAATCAGCTATACAAGGAAACTGGAACTTATATCCATCCAAATCAAGCTCAGTCCGGAGTCGTAATCTCTCTCTCTAGCCAAAATGGCATCTCGGTGGCTACTCTCATGTGCTCCCACAATAGAACTTCCTTACTGTCCAGATTCCACCCTTGGAACTTCAATGAAATGGTACCGTCTCGCCCAGATTTGGGTGCACGTTAAAGAATCCCAGGTGGTCGAAATTTCCGGAGCCCTCCACTACGGCGTCTCTCATAATCAAATGGTGGTTTTGGGACGTTAAACCTCACATATCTATCTGGTACCGTCTCGCCGTCATCGTCGTCGGCGTGTGTCTGCTTGACGATTCACTCGTCTTCATTGCCGGTTTCCCGGTCTTATTCATCTTTGGCCCACTTGGTCCAACCCAACTCGTCCATGGCCTTATTGATGATGCACTCGGATGACTTGTGTGGGCCGCATCCATTTTGGCTCGAAGTGGAAGAGCTGTAGTCCTAGAACTACTGTGCATGGTTACTGCAAGTCCAGCCGCACTGGAGTCTTCCGTGATCGACGGCCATTTTCCGGGCCTCTTACGCCCACATTTTTCAAAACCGGACGACTCTACTGCTTCCGTTGCTGTAGGGACGCTGACCTTCCTGATCTTTGCAGTTCAAAGCTCCACAGCACAGTGATGGCTCATCCTCCGTGATTTACCATAACAGCTCGGGTCATGTGTCACAAGTCTTCCTCCGACCAATCCCACATGTGAACGTGGCAGCATCGAATGTGCACCATCAAGGTCTTGCTCAACGATGCAGCATTCCAGCGCCCAGTACGTGGCTCACGCCCTCCAACTCATGACATTATCATAGAAACGAAGTGTCATAAATTCTTTTTCGTGGCAACTTTGGCGAGTGTTAGTTTATTTCCGAGAAGTGTATGTCCCTCGTCAGACGGTGTTCTGTCGAATGCTGGACTATCCTAAACAATAAAACCACACTTTCAGCACAAAACGGCATTTATTTTCAGGCACTAAAGCTATAAGCAAACAGTGTCTCAAGGTTCTTAGAGTCGAGACATCCAGTCTTAGGCCTACAGAAGGCTAGAGAGTCTTGTTGGTAGCTCTCAGGTGCTCGGAGGCACCTGACAGCTACCAACACTTGAAGGCGGTCATGTAGCATCCGCATCGATGCATGGCGTAACTAGCGTAACCACAACATGGGTGCAGCAATGTACGCTACGTGGACTAGCACTAACTCATCAGGGCCACTTTGGCTTGGCCTGAATCCAGGCTTTGATAGCACTGGGCTGCTGTGCATGAATATAGAATACATGATTCTCCCACAGCCCTAATGATACATCACAATATTCATACTCTACAGCTTTGAAGGAAAATACCCCGGTGAAAGTTTCTTTTCCAATTTCAAAACAATTGCTTCTCTCTTAACCAACTGGCTTATGTGTCCCCTCTTACAGCACGTCGAACAAGGCATCGTCACACTCTTTCTCTAATGCTATACAGCACCAGAACTAACCTATTTAAGTTTCCATTCTTCCCACGAACTATAAACGATTGGAATAACCTGGAGGTATCGCAAATAATAAATGCAGATTCTATTGAATGTATATCTATTCAATGTTATCAACAATGTCACATTGATTAACCCTTCGTTCCTTAGTTTTACTGTTACTGTTGTTGAGTATTTAACAAGTGTTATTGCTGTCTTCGATCTTGTATGAGGATTATCTAATGTTCGTTCATGCGTATTATGTTCTCTATTAATACTTTTGTTCTGATGCTATTGTTACTCTTTTTTTCTTTTGGTCTTTTAAATTTGTCTTATTTCGTTGTGGTTTCTGTGAATGTATGTATTTATGTGCTGCTCTCCTGCATAGACCCGATAAGGTCTGCAGTATTGTATAAATAAAAATAAATAAAATTAATCAATAGTTGAAAGAAGCAGAAGACATCACTGCTGCAATTTTCAAGGGTGCAATAATTATTTGCGGGAAATGAAATGTGATTTTTGCGGGACAATGCAGGGGGTTCGAGAATCATGCAAGTAAATATGGTAAGCTACATAATTGTACCTGCATAATAAAAGCTTTGTTGACAGTTCCTTGTCCATCTCTTAAGTAGCAGTGTGTTTCTAAGTGGATCCTCGCTTCCAAACAGCTCATCGCTTCACTTTATTCCCTTAAAGACTCACATGAGTAGTGCTGTGTAATAAAACTATACATGGATGTTTCTGGACTGATTCTGAAAACATAGAGGGGTTAATGGCAGCAAAAATTGCATGAGGAAGTTGCAATCTTTTACTCCTTGTATAAAAAAAAAAGGAGGCTTGAAGTGTTCGGGTACGTGGTAGTTCAACTGAAGCGGATGTGATGAAATATGCGTGGAGAGGGCACGGGGGATGGCTCAGCGAGCTCAAATAAAACAAATCAGAGAGAGAGGGACGGCAATCTGCTGGTAAGAAGCAAGTGCTCCCAAACCCTATTCTGCCTTCACAGGTGTCCGATGTTTTGTGAACTTGGCAGCCTCATTTCGGAGAAATTCAAGTTCGCTTGTGAAATCTTTTTGATGGGGCTCCAGATGGAAGATGCACACTTGAGCTTCGGTCTGAAAAATTATATGTGTAATCATTTTGACATGGGGGAGGTGGAGTATGGTGTGTAAGTGTTGTTCAAGAAATTATCAAGATTTATTAGCCACTGAAATGGCGATAGCAGGTTGAAATTTCCAGCTTGTAAGTTTAATGCTTTCCTTGCAGGTTGGCGACATCATCACGGTGACTAAGACCAACATCAACGGCCAGTGGGAAGGCGAACTTAAAGGTCGTGTCGGACACTTTCCATTCACACACGTCGAGTTCATTGACTCGGAGAACCCAGACGATGACGAATTGTAGCTCTTTTGTTGCAACCCTTGCCAACTTTGCTCCGCACTCCCGATGCACCACTTTCTTCACTGTGTTGCTGCATGAGTGGCGAGAGAGAGCAGTTTTTGCTTGGCACCGTGAAACCAGTGTGTGGATGACGGAGTTTCCCCTTTTTGTTCGGGAGTGTATGACTTGTCAGTGTGCCCAGCTTGGATGGAAGAACCTGGGCAAGTTTTCTAGGCCCTTGTGTGCTAGTTGGTGCCATCATTTTACTTTTCTACCAGCCTTGGAAGCACAAGCAATGGCTCTAGCATGTTGCACGCAGCAAAGCTTTTCATCCACCAGCTTCTTTGTGATACAGAGGAGGGCCTTTGCAGACAGGGTCTCAAGATTGTAAGCTATAAAGAGAATTCACTAATTTCAAACCTAAGCTGACGAGGATTATTCATTTTCTTGCATTGAAAAAAGCCAGAATTATTGAAACGTAACACCTAGCCTTTCACGGTTACCGATGCAGTCTAGTGGCCAATATTGTTTTCATTCAATGTTTTCTTTTGATGTGACATGAGCAACCACCATTTTGCCATGTTAGAAAACTTTGTAATTCGCATCAGGGAGGCAGAAGCGACCGAGGCTGCTCATGAGGCATTGAGCAAAGGGTTGTGTGCCTCGGCACTCGCAGCAGTTTGTAGCATGCTGTGTTAGTCTTAAACTGGGGCTGGTTGGTTCATATAGATTTTGAATGGAAAAACTGCTCTGGAACAGGACAGAGACGAGATGACACAAACACGGTGCTAACAACCATAGTTTATTGCATTTGCGCATCAGTATATTGAGGAACAAGATATCCCTGTAACAATATCAACTCACACATTTGAAATATACATAATTTTATGAAGTGATAGTAAAGCCACAGTGACACAACATTTTGCACTTTTCTGCATGCAAAAAGCACTCTATTGTGCCTTAAAGAAAATTTCACTTCTTTGTGAAACTTTTCGGGCTTTTTTTCTTCCACAAAGGATTGTGGCAAAGGCCTTTATCAAGCTTTTTGTTCTTGTCCTCATGTTCATTATCTTGCTGTAATAAAATCGAATTATTGAAAACCAGAGGATGTTGAGTAAGCTTCACTGTTGCTTTATAAAAATGAAATTATGTATGTTTTGAATGTGTGAGATCGCATCTTTGTTCCTCGATATGTGTGCTGATCTAGTTTTTGCCTGTATGTAATGACGAGCGAACACAGTAAAATGTGGCTCTTAGTCGGCACATCTCTTCTTCGTCCAGCACTGTTTCTTCATTCAAGATCTCTATTGTGCTGTCAAGGATGACTCTTTGGTATTGTGAAATTATTATTTCATCCTGGAACTGTGTGGTTGCCATCCATGATCGTAGCTACACTGGATTAACGTGCAGTGGCAAGCAGTGGAGTTACGTCACGAATTCTGGACGAAGCAAAATTCTTGTGCATAGGAGCCCACGGATCGCTGCTACTGGCAAAAAATACGCTCAGCATTAACAAAGTGCTTGATTGGGCTGGTTGGTGCTGCATGGTAGACGAAGAAAGTGCTTAACAGCACAAACGACAGGAGGGGATAGAAGAGACGAGAACAGAGCGCTCTGTTATTGTCTCTTCTATCTCTTCCTGTCGTTAGCACTGTTAAGCACTTTCTATGGTCAGCATGGTTTATAAAGATGTGGACTATTGGGCCCTCGCTGCTGTAAGTGCGAATATTGTGTGAAATATTAGCATGAGTTCAATAAAAATAAATAAAAGCAAGTTGCTACAGTACAGATTTGTTGGTGTTATTGGTACATTCAATTATTTCGCATTTCTTTGTCACATGTACGAAATCTATATTATTGTTGCCCACAATCTTGCAACTGCACAGAATAAGATGAGCTTTTTGTGGAAGAAAGAAAAGGATTTTTGGGGATGCCACTTATTCGCATTGATCGATGTGTTGATATTTTGATGATTTGTATTGATGCTGCCCTTGATGGGGCAGGTGCTGCTCTACTAGGCAACCACTTTTTTCTGTGTAAGCTATCAAACCAAAACACATGGCCATCACCATGCCAAAACTTAAGTTTACTCATAACTTTTTCACTTTGCCTCGCTGAAACAAATGCTGCTTGATCTATTATGAGACTCGAACAGTTACGAAAAGTCATTTGTAAAACACAGTAATTTTTCACTTTGCAAGAATACCTTCCTTTTCTTTGCACCACCTCTTTTCAAAAGTAAGACTTAGTGTACGTGGCCGCAATTGCGCTGTTTAGTTCTCCAAGAAAAATATACTCTTAACATGCTCTTCAATTAAAATGTTTCTCCCATTCACATTTCTTGTGTATATAGTGTTCTAAATGAGTCAACGATGCAATCAAGCAAAGCTGAAATCAGCAGCAAGCTGTCGTACTGTACTTGCGGAGCAACACGAATGTGTGGAAGGTTCACCTCTGTAGCTTCTGCTTCAATGTCAAGGTGAGTTGTGCTTAATGTAGTGCCAGGTATAGGATAGAATTCCCGCTGAAGTTTTTTTCATGGGGCACCAAGGAGGCGTGACATGGCTTGTAGCCACTTAGTCACATTTGTTGTTTGGTCTTGTCGTGATGGTATGGCATACTATCATGGCAAGTGGACCTATCTCGAGTGTTCCTAGGCAAACAATATAGAGAAAAGTGCCTAATGCAGGACATTGGTGCACCCCCGAAAACTTCATTGGAAAATGAAACCATTTCTGAACTCGGGGACACAACAGCGATGAGACCTTTGTCGTGTCCCGAGTGCTTTACAGTCGGGCATTTTGCTCCTTTCTGCCATAGTATCTCAATGCTGCAACTTGTGTGTTGTGTACTTCCCCCTCCCCCTTTTTAATCTTCTTTTACAATGCTAATAAATGCTAAATTTTAGGTAGCTTTCAGTCTTCATCAGCGCAATACATATTGTCAAGCAACTAGCCAAGCAGTGTGCGTTGCATTTCTGATCGTTCGGGGCCATCTCGTGTATAGAGCTTTAATTTGCTGCATTAAAATGTGCCACTGTCCTTACATGGTCCCTTGCCATACTGTAGTGAAAAGGAATGCTCACCACTGCTGCGACATCGAAAAGTTGGCGCGCTAGAACTGCCTGGCTGCTGCAGCGACGCTGCCCGTATTTTCGGCTAGTTTTTGCTGCTATTGTCCCGACGCCCCGTTTACATTATATTTGGTGGAGGCTGCTGCGGTTTTTCCCGGCCCTAGAATTGCGTAGCTGGAAGCTGCCGGCTCGTCATGCCTGACGACGTCTCAAACACCCCCACTGGCTTCGTCACCCAGGGGCTGTCCTGGTGCCCAGCGCCTGTGAGAGCCCGACATCTTCAGCGGCACCGTCGAGGAAGACATTGTGGATGGGCTGGAATTATGAACGAGCGAGCGCTACCAACAAATGGAACGATCCCATGAAGCTCAATACGGTTATGTTTTATTTAACGGATGTCGCCGTATTGTGGCACAGAAACCACGGGGCAGATCTTCCCACTTGCACAACCTTCAAAACCTGCATCCAGCTATTTTTCGGCGCCCGGGGGTGCGCAAACTTCGCGCAGAACAACGACTATGAAGCTGGTCCCAACAAACTGGACACATTCACTAGTTACATCAAGGACATCCTTGACCTCTGCTGGCATGTCAACCTGATGGTGGCGGAAACTGACAGGTTACGACACATCATAAAAGGCATTTCCATTGACGCCTTTCAGATGCTGCTCTCGAAGAATCTCGCCTCTGTCTCTGAAGTCGTCGAGCTGTGTCAGAGCTTCGATGAGCTCCTACGACAGCGTCTTCTCACTCGACAGCCTAATGTTCCGGACGACACCATCTCGAGCCTGACTATCACCCCTGACCTTCAATCACTGCTATTGCAGATCGAGGAGTTTGTTCATGCTGAGGTTGCTCGTCAGTTTTCCCTGCTATCAAAAGCCGGCTAACCGCCGTCACCTCTGCCAACAAACATTTACCAGGTTATTCAGAAGCAAGTTAGCGCAGCTCTTGATTACTTGAAGAGCGGTCGCATTTTGACGAGACAGCACCCAAGAACTCCTTTCGCTAAAATTCCGGCGTCGGTAGTGTCGGCGTCAGCATCTTTGGTTGAGAACAAAAAAGAAGCATTGTACGTGAGGGAAAACTTAGGCTGTTTTCAATAAGGATTTCAGCCCGAGGGGAACGGCACGCTAGCTATTTGGAAAGTGATAGTGTGCCTGCGTTTGTGCATGTATGTGAGTGTATGTATGCCTGCGTGTGTGTGCACGGGGATATCGCTGTCGCGTTTTGTTTGCTTAGCTAAATGAACGAAGAACTTTTTCAGGAAATATAAATAATGTATCATGACACTTACATGCGCTCTATAGAGAACTCAAATTGACACGCTATCCTTGCCAGTATTACTGTTAGCGTCGCGCAAATTACTGCATGTTGGCCTCTGGCAGTGTAAACAGCTACCATAATATCCCAGGTGAAAATATTCTAACTGGAAACAACTGGGACCAGTTCAAGTATTTTATGGTGAAATTCCCAGTGGGGACAAGTTGCCAGTAGGTTCCAACTTGGATCCATTGGCAACTGGTCCCCACTTGGAATTTTTTCATAAAACACTTCAACTAGTCCCAGTTGAGACCCACTGGCAAATGGTCCCCTCTGGGAATTTCACCATAAACCACTGAACTGGCTCAATTGCTTCCAGTTGCCAGTAGACCCCTACGAGGAAGCTTGGCGTTGAAACATCACATTATTTATTAGAAATTTTGCAGATTGAGTATGCAGGGGCTGTGAAGCATCTTCATTGCTTCCTTGAAAAGGCGGCAGATGCTCGCAATTTCGTAGATCTCGTGCGTACAAAACCATCTGAAAGAAGTATTTACGCTGTTAGCAAAGCTGTGTTAGTATTTTACGCGTGCAATACTACCGGAAATTAAATTTCATCAACATTCATCTAGTGTGGGCTTAATATAAAATCGTGCAGTGTGTCCAAAGTAAAGCTGATATTGCTATCAAACAAAACACAAGTACTATAGTCGCAATTACGGACGGCTCCTGTAACTGTGGCTCTTAATTCACACCTCTTAATACGCAACTTGATCGATGACTATAGCATTGTGAGATATTTTATGGAGCAATCATATGTGAGATTCTGCTCAATTGTGCCTTTTAACATGCGATTGCAGTAATCCACAAATCTTTCTACCATACAGTCAACAATGATTGTGAATAAATAGGCACACCTTCATTGTACATATTAGTAAAAGGTACAAATACACCACAGTATTATTTACAACCTTGCACAGCAATTATTGGCACAATTAACTCGTATGTGTCAAATATAATTCAAAATTCTAATTTCCTCGAGAATAATCATAAATGCCTCTGTACATTATTAGGTTAATTTAACATCATCTCTAGAGATCATGTTTTGGTCTATTCTGATTTTCGAACTGTCGAGCTTATCTTAGTGGCACAAAAAAAAAAAAAGCATTGGACAGTAAAGCCGATCAAGCTCACAAAAAGACAACAGGTTTGAGGATATTTAATTGCTGAGCAAATACGCGCCCGTATCTAGTACTTCGGATAGAGCTACAAGCCTGCATAAGTATACTTCGTAGTTCTTTATCATGCTGCTGAACACAAGTATTGTGCGATCGACACTCATCTTTTAGGACGCTCCAAAACAGCTAATCTGTAGTGTTTTAAGCATTGTTTACAAGGCAACGTTCGATTATCTTCACTGTCATTACACTCTGTTTTGCATTGTATTATATCTGCATGTTCACATACTCGAAGCAGAAGGTATTAATTACCTTCAAACGGCTGCATTGCGGACAGGGCAGGCAGGCATTCCGAACACGATAGATCCACTTATCCGTCTTGTCACAGACAAAAACACTCAAAAAAAAAAATCGGATAATATATTCGTAAGTCATGAGACTCGTTTTCTTATTGTCCTATATGTCCTACTAGTCTGGTGATTCGGTACACTTCCGAGTGTAAGACAAAAAAGAAAAAACTTGCATAAAGCCAATTTGTTGAGGTGCAACAATTATATGTTATACACAATCGAGTTCAACGTTTTTCACTTTTAAAAAGCATACAACCAGAACAATACGTACTTTCAGTTAGGACAAAACTGTGACCAGCAGCTTCCAGTTCAACTGGTGATGGTCCCCATTGGCAGCCAATTGAGCTGTAACTAAGACTAGCTACTAAGTGAAACCACTTGCAACTGGGACCAACTGTTCCCAGTTGATTCCCAGCTGAAACCAGTTGAGCTGTAACTTGGACCAGCTACTAACTTGAACCACTTGTGACTGGGGCCAACTGTTCCCAGTTGATTCCCAGTTTTAACCAGTTGGCCTGTAACTGAGACCAGCTGATTCCAGTTAATGCCAGTTGAAACCATTTGGATTCCCAGTTACACATTTTCACCTGGTATAGGTATGGTGGGAAGAATTTTATTGGATCCTGAAGGTCGATCTTATGTTAACCCGTACCAGACCCATGTTGGGCCAGTGCCATCAGCCATACCTCACTCTATTTTATTAAGCCGGGTGGACTTCAACTTTATGAAGTGCTTATCAGACAGTGAAAACGAGAGCACTATACCTCAGCACTATTTTTTTTTGTGCAGGGACGTTGGATGCCGACAATCATGATATGCATTCGATGGGGCACGTAAGGTTATCTAAGGTATTTGCCTTAACAAACGTTATTGTATTGTAAGTACCTTGGTCGAAAGTGTTGCTGCATTGTTGCAAGACTGTGATGATGGTTGCTAGGCATCCAAAAACGAGGAAGTCTGTTCTGTTTACATCAAGTACGGCAAAATAATTATATTCACATTAATATAATAAACGTAAAAAACACGGCTGCATCACAGCAATAGTGTGCACAATATTATTTCTGTTCAACAAGATTTAATTTTTGTTGGTCCATATATGCACGGATGCAGCTCGGAAACTGGCACCTGAATTTAAGACAAGGAATTGCTTTTCCAGAGTGATGAGGAACTGAGTCGGTAGCCCGTAGGCCCACACTATCAGTGCCGTGTTGGGAAGCACCCTACTCTTCACGTGGAGGAGGCCCGTCACTATACTGAAGCCGAAGCGCTGGCTTTTGCATGCGTGTCTGCTGATAGCCATGCTCTGGAGTCGCTGTCTTCACGCGCAACAAATTTGGCGTACTTTATGCGGTCCTGTCAGGCACCTCGAGTGCAGTTGAAGCTTTTTGCCCCTGTTGTTTAAGAGAAGTAGGCAGTACGGCGGCCAACCGTTTTTGCAGAGGGGGGAAGTGGTTATGTTGTAAGAAGGAAAAGA